CCCTTGTCCTGGAGCCATCATCTGCTGCCTCCCAGGGTTCACATTAGCAGGAAGTCAGAGCCATGACCCTTACAGGGAATACAGGCCTCTGAGCTGCTAAGGCTAAACACTCACTTCTCATCTCACCCCTTTTAAGATTAATTTATTTGAGAGGCAGAGTTACAGAGAGAGGCAGCAAGAGAGGCCTTCCATCACCGTTTCACTCCCCAAATAGCTGTAATGGCCAGAGCTGGGCCAATTCGAAGCCAGGAGCCAGGAGCTTCTGGATCTCCCATGTGAGTGCAGAGGCCCAAGCACTTGGGCCATCTTCCGCTGCTTTCCCAGGCACATTAGCAAGGAGCTGGATTGGAAGTGGAGCAGCCGAGACTCGAGCCAGCGCCCATATGAGATACTGGTGCCACAGGTGGAGGCTTAGCCTACTATACCACAGCACCAGCTCCACAAGAGCCTCTGAATGTTCTAGCCCACTTGCACCCTCCTACTTGGTTCACAATGCAAATCTCGGCCCGCGCCGCAGCTCACTAGGCTAATTCTCCACCTAGCATGCTGGCACACCGGGTTCTAGTCCCGGTCGGGGTGCCAGATTCTGTCCCGGTTGCCCCTCTTCCAGGCCAGCTCTCTGCTGTGGCCAGGGAGTACAGTGGAGGATGGCCCAGGTGCTTGGGCCCTGCATCCCATGGGAGACCAGGATAAGTACCTGGCTCCTGCCATCGGATCAGCGCAGTGCGCCGGCCCTAGCGCGCCAGCTGCGGCGGCCATTGGAGGGTGAACCAATGGCAAAGGAAGACCTTTCTCTCTGTCTCTCTCTCTCACTGTCCACTCTGCCTGTCAAAAAAAAAATGCAAATCTCTTTTCTGCTTAAATGTCTTCAGTGGCCTTTTTTTTTTTTTTTTTTGACAGGCAGAGTTAGTGTGAGAGAGAGAGAGACAGAGAGAAAGGGCTTCCTTCTGTTGGTTCACCCCCCAAATGGCCGCCACTGCCAGAGCTGCGCCAATCCGAAGCCAGGAGCGAGGTGCTTCTTCCTGGTCTCCCATGCGGGTGCAGGCACCCAGTCACCTGGGCCATCCTCCACTGCCCTCCTGGGCCACAGCAGAGAGCTGGACTGGAAGAGGAGCAACTGGGACTAGAACCCGGCACCCACATGGGATGCCGGCGCTGCAGGCGGAGGATTAACCAAGTGAGCCACGGCCCTTCAACGGCTTTTGATTGCTCTGAAAATAAAGATCAAATTCTCGCCTTGGGCTGCAAGGCTGGAGGATCTGGCTCCTTGCGTCCCGCCCCCCCAGCGCCAGCCCATTCACCACTCTCAGGCCACACTGGTCCCCTCTCTGCCCTCCGAACATTACAAACACTATGTTGTAAAGTTCTTTCCCACCTCGGGGGCTGCACAAGCTGTCTTCTCTCCCTGCAGCACTTCCTCCAACTTCTTCCAACACCTGGTTAATCCTCCCCCTTCGTGATTTAAGTCAGATGTCACTGTCTCAGGCCTCCGTGCCAGTTCCCTCTACCACATTGCCCTGCTTCTTTCTTTCATAGTGTGTTTGACACTCTGAAACTACCCGTTCATTTATCATCATTCCCCACTGAAAATCTCGGCTCTGTGTTCTTCATCACCCCATCCTCAGAGCCGAGCTGGTGCACGGCACACAGTGGACTCACTGGGAATATCTGTGCAGATCTGGAATTCTTTCTTTGGAATGTTGAGATGTTGCCCCTTCTTTCCAGAAGATGGCGCCAAAACCACACCTGGTCCCTAGCGGAGGTGTCGGAGTTGGGGGTGGGCATGACCACAGGTAGCTGGGGACTGAGCAGAAGAGATGGGTTTTGTGGTGGTCATGCTGGATCCAAGTGTGGAAGAAGGTCAGGATAGTGCTGCTCTGTCCAGAAGGGCCTGGATTATTAGCAAATAACCCACACTCTGGGGCCCCGCATTGCTGCTCCTAAATCAATCCCATGAACGCAGCAGGAGTCCTTGGACGAGAGCAGCAAACAGGGGAGAGGCAAGGGCTCTTCATAGAACATTTGGGGGAAACTGAGACCCAGAGAGAAGCATCCTAGCGGCCCGGTGAGAACTGGGCCCCTCCTAACAGAGCTTATAGTCACTCAGCCGCACCTGCCCCGCCCCGCCCCACTATGCCTGGCCTTGGACTCAGTGGGGAGACCCCCTATGAAGGGGGCATGCCTGCTCAGAGTGCCCCGAGGGGAGGAAGGGCAGGGGTAGCTCCAGAGAGACCTGCAGGAGCCCAGACACCTGGGATGAGGGGCCAGCAGGTGGCCTGCCTGGAGGGTAGGGGAAGCCAGCCGTAGTCTCAGGCTTCCGACTGAAGGCTGTGGAGACTTGCAGAAGGGCTTCTAAACAGCAGAGCCACTGGTTGTCATGGGTGCTTTGTCGAGGACTGTGGGGAGACCAGAGTGCTCGCGTGGAGGCCAGGCCGGAGGCTCGGTGTAACCCTTCCCCGGGGGAGCACGAAGGCTGAGAAGGGAAAAGAAGCAAAGCTGAGTAAGTCAGAACATTTTAAATGTTCTGTTTTAAAAGGCTGGTTTTTTTTTATTTACTTGGAAGTCAGAGTAACAGAGGGAAGAGGAGAGAGAGAGAGAGAGAGAGAGAGAGAGAGAGAGAGAGAGAGATCGATCTCCTGGTTCACTCCCCAAATGGCAGAAATAGCTGGGGCTGGGCCCAGCTGGAACCAGGAGCCCAGAACTCCATCTGGGTCTCCCATGTGGGTGGCAGAGGCCCAAGCCCTTGGGCCATCATCCTCTGCTTTCCCAGGTGCTTTAGCGGGGAGCGCTATCGGAAGTGGAGCAGCCGGGCTCAAACTAACACTCTGATCTGGGATGCCAGCATAGGAGCAGCAGCCCAGTCCCAATAACTTTTTTTTAAAGACAGAACTTGGTGGTTGTTGAATAAAATGGAGGGGAGGTACAAGTGGGCCTCCTGAAACGCGACCTCAGAGCCCCTGAGCCAGAGCAGACCCCAGACTCCTGCCTCGCCCCCGCAGCCTCTGACAGGCGGTGGCAGCTGCAAGCAGTGGAGCTTGGCTTGCTGGTGGCAAAGCTGTGGCTGACACAGCAGCCTGCAGCGATGGTGAGGATCAGGGCCGGCAGCCAGGCAGCCCGGGTTCAGCACGGACTCCCCACTGCCTGTCTGGGGACCTTGCACAAGCTGATTCTCCGTTCTTCAGTTCTCATCTCTAAGTGGTGGTCGTCATGGTGCCTTCCCCATAGGGGGGTTAGGAAGATGGATTGAGTTAACGTGCACGGAGCCTGTTACTAACGCTTTATGGAACAGGTGTAGGTGACGTGGCAGAGCCTTGGCAGGAAAAGCCACGCCCCCCACACACACCCCGCCCTGCCGAGTCTCAGGCCCCCTGCTCCCTGGGTCCCACCCACTGGTCTATCAGATAACGAGGTTGGCCAAGTCACTCCAGATCTGGCCACCTTTACTTTCCTGTGAACCCTGGGGCTCAGTCTATGTGTGTGAGACCCAGCAATGGGCTGGGGCAATCCTACCAGCCTGGTAGAGCTGCCTTGAGCAACGTAGTGCAGCCATTGGTGATCTGAACTCGACCATGGCGGAGCATTTATCCCATGGAAACCTGGCAGGTGCTGCAAGGTGGGCCTTGCCCACCCCACTCCATCACACCAGTGCTGTTGGTCCTTACACTGTGCTTGCTATGATGGGACCACCCCTCCGAAGGCAGCATCAACTGATTGGACAAAGAGTCACAGGCCCCAGTCACAAAGTCGGCTCCAGCCTAGGCAGCCCCGCCTGCTCGGGCACACACAGGGTGGGCAGCATAGCATGCATGCATGGGCAGAGCCCCTGTCTGTCTGCCAGGCTCTCGATGCTGGAGCCTAGCAGATCTGGGAATGGAATTCCTGTTAGGCCACACTGTGGCACAGTGGGTTAAGCCACAGTGGGTTAAGCAGCTCTCTGCTAATGCGCCTGGAAAAGCAGCAGAGGAGGGCATAAGTGCTTGGGCCCCTGCACCCATGTGGGAGACCCAGAGAAAGCTCCTGGCTTCTGGCTTCAGACCAACCCATTTCTAGCCATTATGGCCATTTGGGGAGTAAACCAGCAGATGGAAGCTCTCTCTCTTTCTCTCTAATTCTGACTTTCAAATAGATAAATACATTTTTTTAAAAAAAAGTTTTTATTGGGTATAGTGGGTAAAGCCACCAGCTACAATGCTGGCATCCCATATGGGCACTGGTTCAAATCCCAGCTGCTCCACTTCCAATCCCGCTCCATGACCATGGCCTGGGAAAGCAGCAGAAGATGGCCCAAGTCCTTGGGCTTCTGCCACCCACGTGGGAGACCTGGATGAAACTCCTGGCTCCTGGCACAGCCCTGGCTGTTGCAGTCACTTGGGGAAGTGAACCAGCAGATGGAAGAGCTCTCTCTCCCTCCCTCTCCCTCATTCAAATAAGTAATGTTTAAAAAAGCTTTTATGTATTTGAAAGACAGACACAAAGAGAGACAGAGCTCTCCCATCTGCTGGTTCACTCCCCGAATGCCCACAATAGCTGAGGCTGGGCCAGCCCTAACCAGGAGCCCAGAGCTCAGTGTGGGTCTCCCACGTGGGTGGCAGGGACTCAAATACTTGGCATCACCTGCTGCTTTCCCGAGTGTGCACTGGCCCGGAGCTGGATCGCAAGCAGCGCTGCGACTCAACGCGGGCTCTCTGACGTGGGATGCGGGCGACCCAAGCGGCACCTTCACCACTGGGCTGAACACCCACCCCTCCAGCTCAGTTTTCTCATTTTTACAAGAGGGACAGCCCTGCCTTGGCGCCATGGTTTCAAGGATTAAATGAGACCATCAGCAAAGTGATGTGGATCCCGCAGCTGGGGCCTGGCCCTGAGAAGCGGTGCCTCAGAGGTGAGCTGAGGCCCTTGTCACGACCTCCTCCCCCAGCACCTGGGCTTCGCCCACCTCTCCCTGTCGGTTTTGACAGCAAAGGGCCCGCTGAGAGGCTGAGGACAACAGAAACAGGCCGTTCCGTTTCCAGCCTTTATGAAAATTAATAACATTAATAGCTCAGACATATACATACACACACATCGCTATGTACACAGTCATTAAGTTATTAATTAGTCTCTGTATAAAACGTGTCTGCGTTAGTGTTCTGGGCTAGGTCCCAGCAGTCCTTGGCATATTCACAGTAGCAGCCCCAGGGCTTGGTCCCGAGGGCAGGCGGAGGGGAGCCAGCGATGGCCCTTCAGGGAGCACCGGCGGTGTCCTGGGTCGCTCGCTCTGGAGTCTTCTGTTCCCTTCGGGCACCTGCAGGCCAGCTGCTCAGCGAGTGTACAAACAGGTACTGGTCCCTTGTGTGGCCTGGGGACCCAGGCCCTCTGCGTGGTGGCTTTGGGCAGCCCAAGAGGCCCTAGAGGATGCTGGCCAGCTCTGTGGAGTCTGTGTCAGAGCAGCCGGAGCTGCTGGCTTCGTCCCTGCAAGAGTCCAAGGGGACAGCTTGGAGGAAGGGCCCTGCACCCCGCCCGCACTCTGCACCTGCTCCTTCCTGGCAAACTAGCGGCCCTATAGGTGGAGCCAGCTGCTGGATCAGGGAACCCACAGGACACCTGAGGTTGGTTCCTGCCCCCTCATAGCCCAGACACCGCTGGCCACTAAAAGGGCTGGCTGATGGGGCTGGCACGAGGAGTCACTCCACCCTGCCCTCTGTTCCCCCAGAAGGCAGGGCTCAGGCCACCCCCGTGGTCCTGCATGCAGGGGGGTAGTAAACGGTGCAGGCTCTGCAGCCAGATCAGTGGGCACAAAGCCCAGCTCCACCCCTTGCCAGCCAGGCCCTCACCCCTCCTAGCCAAACCTCAGTTTCCTCATCTGCAGAGTGCGACTCCAGGAGACACTGACACACTCCCCAGCCCTGGTCTGTCCCCACCCAGCCTCACAGGGAAGGCGGTCCCGAGGTCATTCAGCCACAGGGAGCCACCCTGCAGGGGGACGGATGATGGGCGAGGCCTGGGTTAGCTCCTGAGGGAGCAGACTGCCAGAAAGGAGCGAGCCTCACCCTTCCCAGATCTCTCGCCTCCTTCTCACTCCTCCGAGCCGCTCCCACTAGAGGGCCCTCAGCCCTGCAGCCGGGGCCCCTGGCCATAATGCTGGCGCCTGTGTGGTTTGCACTTTGCAACCTCCAGAATCATGGGCTAAATAAACAAACCTCTCTTCTTTACCAAGTAGCCCGACTCGGGTATTTGTGTCACAGCCTCTCAAAATGGACTAGAATATTCTATAAAACCTGAGCTCCTTGCAGGCAGGGCATTTCATTTGTGTGGTTCCCGAGCGCGAGCTGTGAACCCTCTTGGCACAGAGCCTGGCTCGTGGCTAAGCATCGGGGCTGCCGGGGAGAGGCCTGGGGGCTTGGCTGGGGAGCTGTCACCTCAGAGCCTGCAGCGCCTTCTTGTTCTGCCGCCGCCTGTCCTCGTCGATGGGGTAGAGCTTGAAGAGCAGCAGGCCCACCAGGATGAGGGCTATGGGCGTCATGGTCACCAGCATGTTCAGCGTAAACTTGACGCGCCTCGGCTGGGAGCAGCCGCGTGTCTGGTACCCAGCAAAGCTGTGGGATCCGGTGGGGGAGGGGAGCAGTGAGGCTACGGGCCTGGCGCAGGGTGGGGAGGCTCCGGCCAGAGCCCCAGCCCAGGTGGCACCCCCACTCACTCGAGGCTTAGGGTGGAGATACCCAGCGACACGCCGGAGGCGAACTTAGTGAAGAAGACGTAGAAGGAGAAGAAGATGGGCTCGGTGCCCTGGGAGCGGGGCTGCTTCAGGTGGAAGTCATCAATAACGTCAGGCAGCATGGACCTGAGAGGGCCATTGGCAGCCATGAGGACCCCTCCCCCTGCACCCTCAGGCCCCGCCCTCACCCACCCCCAACACATGGCCGCTGTAAGTGCTCTGCTAAGGCAGTGCAGCACAGGTCAGATTATAGCTCCCTCTGCCCACCCTGGTGCACAGTTCACAACCCCTACAACCGTACGGGGCACACCCTGCCCATCCCCAACCTGGATCCACAGAATGGCCTGTGATAGAAGCCCCCACGGAGCTTCAGAATTGGGGAGTGGGGCACTGGGGAAGAAGCCCAGGTGGGTCTGTGTTTACCTACCAAGGTAGTAAGAAGGCAGCTGCCACACTGACGCCAGCTGCCACGGCCACCACATATGTGACGATTAGGTTACTCTCCCTGACGGCCACCAAGATGAGAAATGGCACTGCTGACTAGGGGAGGGAGTGCGGGAAGGCGGGTCAGCTGGGAGACTCCCCCTGGGAACCCCCAACTCAACCCAGGCCCCGCCCCCCTCTGCCTCACTCACTGAGATCCCCACATATACGGCCGTCTTCTTGCCAAACCGGGTCAGGAACCACTGCCAGATGGGAATGGTGAAGGTGGCCGAGAGCTGCGGATGGACAGAGGCTAAGGGAGGCTGGTCTGAGCCGCAGACCCCCTCCAGTGCTGCCCAGGAGCCACCAGGTAACACCCTCCGGGCGTGCCTGCTGACTCCCCGGGGTGCGGTCCCGCCCTGCCTTTCCCACGCCTCTGGGCACACAGCTCCGTTGGGTTCTTGGCACCAAGACCTTTGCTCTTCTGTGCTCTCAACTAGAACATCCAACCCCAGACTCCTCCTTCCCAGGTTCTACCTATGCAGCTGGAGCTCAGGTCCAACCCCACTCCCCTAGGACTTGGATCAGTCTGAGAATCATTTCCCACTGCCCAGAGAACCATCCCATCGGGGCCCGTGCCACTTCCACCCAGGGCTGCCTGCCCCCTGGGGCCCGCACGCACCATGATGGCCAGGAGTAGGTTCTGGAATTCATTGCGGAAGCCTAAGGAGTATGTGCAAAACAGAGCAAAGTTCCCCTCCACCAGCTGGGGGTGCACAAGGAGAAGGAAACACACAAAGTGAGGTCAGGGCTGAGCCTCCCAACACTGCCCCCCCCCATCCATCCCTCAGCTCAGTCACAGCCTGAGCCACTCCCATTCCCATCACATGCCCCGCCCCCTAAGGCGGGGCAGCACAGCTCCCTTTCCCCCCTCACCATGAAAGCCAGGGAGGTGAAGAGGAAGCCAGCGATAAGCTTGACATACGGGCCATGGCTCATGACCAGCCGGAGGCCCCGGAAGAAGGACATGGGCTCAGTCTGCTGGGCCTCACAGGGTTCTGGGGACAAGAGGTGACAGTGAGGAGAGAGTGGAGATCTGCCTCCCCCAGAGCCCAAGGGCCAGGCTGAAAGACACAGCCACCCCACGCTGGGCCTGGTACCCCTGCCCCAGGGCCCTCCTACCTCGCTGCTCCCGCACGCCCAGGATCAGGATGACAGCACAGATGACATAGATGGAGGCGATGACCCCTGCTGCCAGCAGGTACGCATTTTGCTATAAAGGAGGTGCAGGTGACACAGAGAGAGTCAGGCTGCTCACGTCCCAGCAGCCCCTCTCCCAGCAGCCTCACGCTATGATCTTAGGCTGGGCTCTATTCCCCTGAGGGTCTCGCTGTCTCCCTGTGTGAAATGGGAGACTCATCCGGGGCTTGCCGTTGTCTCGAATGGAGAAAACGCTAAGCCAGGCCGTGGAGCGAGAAGGGGCTGCGGTTGGAATCTTCCCAAATCTCTGCAATTCGTTAGCTCCGTGACCCTGGGTGAATGATTCGGCCTGTCTAAGCTTCGCTTTCCTTACGTGCAAAGTGGACGTACGGGGCCTATGACAAACGCCCACCAAGCACAGACACGAGCTAGCAAGCTAGCGTTACTATCTTTAGGGCGGGACCGCCTCGCTCCTCATCTCCCCCAGTCCCTGCCCTGCCAGGGGCCTCACCGTTTCTCTGAGCGAGGTGGTGCTGTGCGTCCAGTTGGCACTTTCCAAGGCCACTGCAGAGCCATTGGGCTCCTGGAGACAAGGCGAATTCACTTTGCCCACAATTTGCCCCTGGATTGCTGTGCCCAGCACTGTGCCCAGCACCTCCACTGTCATCCCTGGGCAATGAAAAGGAGGTCTTTTGGAGGGGCCTCCTGGCCTGCGGGCCTAAGGAGGGAGGCTGGATGCATGAGAGCCCAGCTCTAGCTCCAGGTAGGGTGGGGATGGGTGGTTGGGGCAGACGCCACGGTGGCCTGAACTCATGGCCTTGTTCTGTGTGACCTCTGGTTAGTCCCTGCACCTCTCTGGTTCTCACCTGAGCAACAAAAGGATCAAGTTATTTTTCAGATCGCTTCGCACCCACACCTAAGAGCAGAGCAAAGAGCTGGGCCCACAGGGAAAGAATCGTGGCCGGAGGGTCGGGGAGCGGAGGGGCCCAGGGTCTCTGGGGGGTGGGATCAGGTGGGCTGGGGGAGACTTACGGTAGGCGGTGGCTGAATCCCGCTCGCTCTGCTCTACGCTGATGAACATGGTGAGAGCCGAGTAGGGGACGTGGAAACACTGGCATGGGAGAGAAGCCGTTGGCCGGTCAGGTGGAGGCAGCCGGGGGCACCACCCGTGAGGCCCTGGGGACTGCCCTCGCCCCTGCCCCCAGAGCTGCGCTGGGAAGGGGCCCGCACTCACCGTGACCAGTGTCTCAAAGAGGCAATAGAAAAGCAGGTACCAAAGGGTCTGGCCCTGTGGGAAGTCGGGCACGAACCAGATGAGGAAGTAGGCAATGATGGCCAAGGGCGTGGAGAAGATGATCCTGGGGAAGGGCTGGGTCTGAGTGCGGCTGGGGGCCAGGGTCCTGGAAGCCAGGCCCAGCTGGACTGCCTGCACCCCGGGGTGCCTGCCAGCAGGAAAGCTGCTCCCCCTCGAATCCACCTGCTAGGGCCTCTGGGAAGAAGCTGATGGCCACACCTAGAAGGGCAGACTGGCCCTGGCTCCTGCCCTGAAATCCTGAGCGTGGAAGGTGAGAAGCCAGACCCCGAGTCTCCTGAGGGCGCCACAGGGAGGGGCCTCCTACGGGCTGGAGGTGGGGGCCCAGGCCTCAGGTGGTAGGGCAGGGGGCTGGGAGCAGGAGCAGCCCCCAATACCTTCTCACACGTGCACATGCTCCACCTGCACACACACGCATGCACACACATGAATATACACCCAGGGAAGCTGGGGGTGAGCAGAACTCCAGGTGAAGGATGATGGAGGAGCCAGGTGAGAGGACAGGGCCCAGTGCTGGAACTGTAAAGCCAGCAAATGTCTGCCTCCCGCGTGCGTGGCCCACACCGTCACTAATGGTCAGACCTCTGGACGGACTCACTTCGTGGCTTCAGTACATAAAGGCAGCAGAGAACACGTGGTAAAAGCAAGGCCTTTTGAGCCACAACTCAGAGATCCAATTCTGGCTCTGCCAACTACAAACCACTTCTTTGAGGCTCGTTTGCTCATCCATAAAACACGGATAGCGATAGCACATATCTTACATTCAATGTTTACTCAGGAAAAACGTCTTAGGTGCTGGGCCTGATTCTAGCCACTTAGGACATAGCCATGAACAAAGCAGGAAAAAAAATCCACTGCCCTGGTGAACCACACATTCAGGTTGGCGAACAGAAAATAATAATCAAAGATTAAAGACAGAGACATCATTCAGCCATACGAAGGAACAAAACTGACACCTGCCACAAGGTGGATAAACCTGGAGGGTGCTGTGCTGCATGAACTTAGCCAGACACAATGACCACTACTGTAGGATTTCACCTGCATAAGGGACCAAGAGCAGTCAAGTTCATAGAGACAGAGAGTGGACCGGTGGTTGCCGGGGGCTGGGGGCTGGGGAGGAATGGAGCGTTAGCCTTTAGTGGGCACAGAGGTCCAGTCTGAAAAGATGGAAGAGTATCAGAGATGGAAGGTGGTGACTGTTGCAAAACAGCAGACTTGGGGCCTGTGTTGTGATGCAGAGAGTTAAGCTACTGCCTATGATGCTGGCATCCCCTATCGAAGTGCTGGTTGAAGTCCAGGCTGCTCTGCTTCTGACCCAACTTCCTGCTATGCACCTGGGAAGGCAGCAGAGGATGGCCCAAGAGTTTGGGATCCTGCAACTCACATGGGAGACCTGAATGAAGCTCCTGGCTCAGGCCTGGTCCAGACCTGGCAACTTGGATAATGAACTAGTAGGTGAAAGATCTCTCTTTCCCTCCCTGTTTTCCTTCTCTCTAGCTCTGCCTTTCAAGTTAAGTAAAATAAAAACCTTTTTTAAAATGTGGATGGACTTAATGATACTGAACTAACCACATACTCAAATGTTTAAGGTGGTAAGTTTTATCTTATATATGCCATAGTTAAAAAGTTATGTTTAGGGGCATAACGGTTTAAGCCAACACCTGCGATGCTAACATCCCACATGGACACCAGTTCGCATCCTGGTTGCTCCACTTCTGATCTAGCTCCCCTGCTAATGCACCTGGAAAGCAGTAGAAGATGGCCCAAGTGCTTTGGCCCCTGTACCCATGTGGGAGATCCAGAAGAAGCTCCTGGCTCCTGGCTTCAGTCTGGCCCAACCCCAGCTATTGCAGCCATTTGAGGAGTGAACTAGCAGATGGAAGATCTTTCTCTCTGTGTGTCTCTCCCTCTCTCTGTAACTCTACCTTTCAAATAAATAAATAAATAAATCTTTTTAAAATATTAAATAGATTTTTAAATTTATTTGCGAGGTCGAGAGACAGAGAGAGCATTTTTATCTGCAAGCCCATTCCCCAAATGTTTGCAACACCCTCAAGTCGGGTGGGACGGTGCCAAAGCTAAGAGCTGGGAACTCAACTCAGGTCTCCCACATGGGTGGCAAGAATCCAATCACTCAAGTCACCAACACTACTTCCCAGGGGCTGTACCAGCAGGAAGCTGGAGTCAGGAGCCAGAGCCAAGCATCAGATCCAGGCTCTGATATGTGGTGCAAGTATCCCAACCAGTGTCCTGACCATTAGACAAAACACCCACCCCAATACATATCAGACGGAGCTTTTTAAAAAATTTTAGGATGAGGCTGGCGCCGCGGCTCACTAGGCTAATCCTCCGCCTTGCAGCGCCGGCACACCAGGTTCTAGTCCCGGTCGGGGTGCCGGATTCTGTCCCGGTTGCCCCTCTTCCAGGCCAGCTCTCTGCTGTGGCCAGGGAGGGCAGTGGAGGATGGCCCAAGTGCTTGGGCCCTGCACCCCATGGGAGACCAGGAGAAGTACCTGGCTCCTGCCATCAGATCAGCGCAGTGAGCTGGCCACAGCGCACTGGCCACGGCGGCCATTGGAGGGTGAACCAATGGCAAAGGAAGACCTTTCTCTCTGTCTCTCTCTCTCACTGTCCACTCTGCCTGTCAAAAAAATAAAAATAAAAAAATTTTTTAGGATGAGACAGATAGTGCCCATCAGCTGGTTTGCTCTCCAAATGCTCACTGTGGCTGGAGCTTGCCGCCAGGCCAGAGTCGGGAGTCTAGAATTTAATCCAAGTCTCCCACATGGGTGGCAGGACCCCAACTACTTGAGCCATCACTGCTGTCTCCCATGGTGCACATTAGCAGGAAGCTGGGAGCAGGTTCGGAGCCAGGACTTGAAGCCAGGCACGCCTCTATGAGATGTGAGCATCTTAACCACTAGACCAACGAATGCCCCTTACAGTTTTTTTAGAAGGTTACATAACATGCTGGAAGGTGATAAATGCTATAGAGAAAATAAATAATATGGGCTACAGGAGATTAGAAATGAGACTGGGATACAATTCCCATCCGGGAGAGCAAGGTAGGCCTCAGTGAGAAGGTGACAACCACCAATCTCGAATGCAAGGAAGACGTAAGGCTTGCAAACATCTGAGATAAGAGTATGTCAGGCAAGGGGAATGGTCAGTGCAAAAGTCCTGAGGCAGATGTATGTCCAGCAGGTCCAAGAAAGGCCAGGGCCCAGAACACAGTGAGCAAGAGAGATGGAATTAGGAGATGAGGTCAGAGAAGAAACAGGACACCGCAGAGGCCATGGTAAGCACTTTGGTCCTGCTTCATAGAGGAGAAGTCATTTTGAGAAGTCAGCAAACACTCAGATGTCAAAAAGTATGGGCCCGGCACTGTGGCATAGTGGGCTAAGCCTCTGCCTGTGGTTCCAGCATCCTATTTGGGCACCAGTTCAAGTCTCAGCTGTTCCACTTCTGATCCAGCTCTCTCCTATGGCCTGGGAAAGCAGAAGATGGCCCAACTCCTTGGGCCCCTGCACCCATGAGGGAGACCAGGAAGAAGTTCCAGGTTCCTGGCTTCGGATCAGCCCAGCTCTTGAGGCCATTTGGGGAGTGAACCAATGGATGGAAGATCTTTCTCTCTGTCACTCCATCTTTCTGTCTGTAGCTCTACCTCTCAAATAAACAGATAAAATCTTACGAAAAGAGAAGTACTCAGGACACCGAGTGCCGGCTGTGATGCTCACGTCAGGAGAGTTCATCAGGACAGCTGCCCTCCGGGTAACTAGGACAGGCCCTGGCCAGGGCAACTGCAAGCGCAGCAATCAGAAATCAGGCCTGAAGCCCAGCCTGCTGGAGCCTGGCCTGCTGCCCCTGCTGCCACACCCTGGCCCGCTCAGGCGGTGCGGGAGCTCCAGGAGTCATTGCTGCAGTCTCTCCAGTTTGAAGCAGAGGATTTCAATGCAGACTTAGAAGAGGGGCTGCCCTGAGGACTGAGAGGAGAGGGGTCACCCAGCTCACGGACCCTGTCAGGCCCAGCCCGCCTCTTCCTATCGTGGAAAGAAATGGAGTGCTGGGTGCTCTTGGCCTGGGAGGGGCCCAGGTCCTAATCACGGGGTGGATGAGGAGGTCCCACACACAGCCCCTGAGCTCTCAAGCGCCGTCAGCATGTACTCAGACAAGGGCAAGGCCATGCACACAGACACCTGCTGAATCCAACACCAGTGCGGAAGCCCCCAGCCACTTCCCCAAGCTGGGTGCCACACCTGCCTGGCAGGAGTCCCAGGGATCCTCCCCAAGTCCCACAGGGACGGACTGCTAGGCTCTCCTCCCTGCTGCGTCCCTGCCTCCCCAGTCCACGTGTCTCCCCAGAGAGCAAGGGTCCCCGGCAGCCTTGATCTGATACTCCATCCTTAGCTGAGCAGTGCTGCCACCGTGAGGAGCCCAATGGGACAGGGAGCTGCTGCTGGACTGAGCTGGCCCAGAAGCTGCCTCCCATTGGCTGGGCCTCATGAGGAGATGTGGCAGCAGGGCCCCGCCTTCCACGGGCTGCCAAGGAGGTGGGCAAGGGGCCAAGTCTCAGGGCTGGCGCTCGGGGAGCCCGGAGCAGCCGATCCAGGTAAGGCAGGCTGTCCTGCCTCTGGCTCTGAAACCAGGATCAAAGGCTACAACCTGGGCTTAGGCCAGGGGCTGGCAGGACCGGGGTAGGTGGAGGAGGGGGGAACCTCGTGGGAAAGGAAGCTGTGGAGGAGCAGGGGCTGCGGGAAAAGCTTTGAAGGCCGGAGACCAGGTAGGGGCGCCCCTGGGGCAGGAAGGCGCCCACTTGGGCCTGGATGGGCTGGAGATGAAAGGGGCACGGCCCCCTCCACCCGAAGCAGGATGTCCTGGGGAGAAGCAGAGCCCCGCCTAACAGCCTGTGCCATGGGTCTCCCTGGCTGTCTCATCTAGGGCACCCCCCACTGGCCCCAGAGCCTGGGGCTGAGTGGTGCTGGCTTTGTTCAAAGGGCAAACAGAGTTCACATCACCCAAGGTGCCAGAGGTTACCCCATTCCCAGGATTATCCCAGCCCCTGTCCCCCAGGAAACAACCTGAAGGGATGCCAAATTATATACTACTTAATGGGTGCCAGGCACTGTTCTCAGTACTTTATACATAAAAAAAAATTCATCCTCACCACAACCCCATAATTATTATCTGCACATTACAGCTGAAGAAACTTGAGGCCCAGGGATGTTAAGTGGCTCACTCAAGGTTGCATAGCTGGGAGCAGTGAAGCTGGGATTCAAAGCCAGGCAGGTTGGTTCCAGAGGGCAACCTCTCAGCTGCTAGGTTGGAATTCCGCTCCAGCAAGGGCAGGGCGTGGACCTCAGGGAGCAGCGGGCTGGACTGGCAGGTGAGGCTTCAGCTGGGGTTCCGACACCCCACCTTCCCCCCACCCCCACCCCATGCTTTGACATCACTGCATCAGAAGCTCTCCCTCAACCCTGGGATAAGCCAGATGCAAGGACCAAAGGGTGGATATGCCGGAAGTCCCGTCTCCGGCCACCTCGAAGCAGTCCCTTCCACTCACCAGGGCATGAGGCGGCCCAGGCGGGTCCAGGAGGATTTGCTAATGCAGAAGCCCACCAGAGGGTCCGTGAAGGCATCCCAGGCTCGGCCCACGAACAAGATGATGGAGGCAGAGAAAGGGTCCACCTGGGAAGGGAAGAGGCAAAAGAATCCTCCCTCAGCCTTCCAGTCACTCAACTCTCGCTGGGAGGCAGAGGCACAGGGCTTGCTCTTGGGCCTCCACCACCTTCCCCGGGCTGGCTAAGCACAATCAATCGTTAACAGGTCTCCCATCACAGCAGCCCTAGGGCCTCCTTAGGGGCGTTTGCAGATCTCTTCCCCTCCCTATCCACTGGAATGAATCCAGAATCACTTGCTTCCCTCCCTCTCACAGTCCAGAGACACTGATCATCTGATCTCAGAGAGGGTACCCCCTGGGTGGCCACGTGGGTCTCAGTTTCCTCATCTGTATAATGGAAGTTATGATCTTTATCTTACAATCCAGCTCCATCTCAGATGCAGAAAAACAAGTCTCTAGATGCTTTTTAAACAGCAGCCTGTGGCTGACCATTCAAGCTCACCATGCCCCTGTCCCCCAAAGACAGATTCTCTGGACCCCTCCTCCTCCACCAAGACCCTGCTATTCTATGGGAAACTGGCAGCCCCTCCCACCCTGCAGTGTCCCCAGCAGAGCCCCTCCACCAAAGCCAATAAAACAGCCTGCAGCTCCTCATATTTCACTCCTCTCGGGGACCAGCCCAGGGGAGTTACTTGAAAACCAGCTGCTGAATGAAGCTATTTGTCCCTTCTGGGCTCAGTGTTCCCCACCTGTAAGTGGATACAACCAAGCCGTCTGCTTGCCAAATCACTTGCTACAAAGAAAAGATGGCCCAAGCGGGAGCCTTGGTAGCCATGGCTACACAGCCTCCCACTCCCCCATCCAGACAGGGCAAATTCCCGGGATGCCAGGCTGCTGGCCAAGACCTCCCAAAGTACAGAAGAGCCCTGCTTCAGCCCAAGGAGCCCTCCCTGTCAAGACCCCCTGGACCAGGCACTGTGACTTAGCCCAGCGCTTGAAAGCCCCACCACCCACCAACAGGCCTCTGCTCCGCAGGTGAGGGGTGGGACCCACCTTCTCCCCACACTTGAGCAGGGCCAGCTTCCTGTCTCGCAGCCAGGGACATGGTGTGCCAGCCTGGTGTAAGAACAGCATCACCGGCAGGTCCCACTCTCCCCTCCACAATCGACTGTCTTGCAGGGAGTCGTCAGACCTTTCCCGCTCAGACACGTGGGGCACCTGGGCTCCTCTCCTGGGTACTTCCTACAGCCCTCTTACTGCTCAGCCACTGTGATGCACAGCAGAGTAGGGATTCCTGGTTCCATTTCACAGATGGGGAAAACTGAGTGAACCCACCCAGGGCTGCCTCATCTCTCCCATCTCCGCATGCCGGAGGAGCTCTGGAAAGCTCAAGCTACTCACCTGAGCCACATCCAGCAGGTATATCTGTAGGAAGAAGCCCAGGGCACAGCCTGTCACCTGGTAAGGGGCGCCTCCAACTGCATAGCAGAGCTTGTTGCAAACGGACAACTGCTGTTTCTTCTTTGGTTCCTTCTGGAAAGAAGAGGAAAAAGTGAAAAGGGGCTCAAAACGCAGCTCCCTATCTTGGAAGGATCCCTCCAGCCAGTTCTGCCTTGCTCTGTTGCCACGCAGGGAGTTCTCGCCTCCCACAAGAAAAGAAAGAGGTACTCTCTGTTCTTAGGAACCAGGAATGGGAGTTCTGACCCCCCGACGAAACTGCCAGCTAAACCGCCGTCTCCCTCGGACTCAGGAAATGGGTCAGGCCACCATCGTTAGAGAACTCCCGGGCCTCAGCCCTGTTCCTTCCCAAGTTCCAGAGGGGAACAAGCTCCAGCAGCGGACCTGTCCCCACCCGGCACCAGCTGCCACAACCTGAAAATCCTCTTGCTGCCAAGAGCTGCCTGAGCCCAGCCCAGGCTCCCGCCCTAGCTGAGGCTGGGACCCACCTGCCTACTGGGTGAGAGCTCGGGAGAGCTGCAGGGGCTCTTCCCAGCTGGCTGCAGGCCCAGCTGTTCCTTCCATCTGTCCCAGCGTGTCCCTGGGCCCCGTAGGCAGTCAGAGTTCCAGGCAAACCCAGGAACTGTCCTGCCCCTGGCTCCCTGCCTGCACCCCTTCTCCCCCTGCCCCCCACCCCACTTCCCAGGGGACCTTGGAGAGGTGAGGAAAGGCGCCTCCAGGTACAGGACTGGCCCCTCTCCGGGTGAGGCTGGGGTTGCTCAGAGAAAGTAGAGATTACTCATGCATAGTAACAGTGTAATTGCTCACCCCAGCTCCTTCCAAGATCAGTTAATAAAATTAAAAGGGAAAAAAAGTGATCACCTCCCAAGCAGGCAGATATTGCCTCTGAGCCCTCCCTGGGGCCGCCTGTTTTCATTCGGTCAATGAATAGGTCCAGGGGGCAGGCAACCGGGCTGGCGGGGCAGAACGCGCGCCTGCATACACTCACACGCTGACGCCGCCGGCGAAACGCGGCTCCTTTAAGAGCTGAGCCCTTGTTCTTATGAATGAACTTGAGCGGCCCTCACGGCGGAGTTGAGGCGCGAGAGTAGGCTGGTGGGGTGGGGGCAGGAGGAGAGATGGGGGAACCGAGGGGGACTATCCGAGCTCTCAGGGTCTCTCCCGCTTCCCAGGCGGCAAACCGGAGCCGCCCAGCGCGCAGGAAGCAGAGCCCGCTCGGCAGAGCCGGGCATCGCGTGGAGCTGCCGACGGAGCCGCTCCGCGCAACATGCGGAGCCCCGGAGAGCAAAAGCGGGCGCCCGCGCCCAGACCACCTCCGTCACTGCATAGCCCCCGGCTAACCCCACTGCCCCAGGACCAGGCCTGCGCCCGCCCTTACGCCCCGATCCCAGCCTGCCCACACCCCCGGCCCTCCCTCTCACCTTCACCTGCGCGGGGCGCTCACTGGCTTGGATGATGCCGGTGGGCAACAGCCCCGCCGCGGAGCCGCTCTCGGCACCTTCTCCTTTGGCCATGTCCCGCGGGCCACGCCGCCTGGGACGGGGATCCCGGGATGCTCGTCTGCGCTAACGGCCTCCGTGGCCTCTGGGCTCCGGTCGTAGCAGCCGCGGCCACGGTCGACGCGCACTAAGAGGAACCGGCAGGCAGGGCAGGCACACACACACTCCCTGCACACCCCCTGCGTGCCTCTTAAAGGTTCGGCCCCGCCCCTCTCGGCCAATCCTCGAGGCCGGCTACCCCGCCTCCAGCCAATCACCCTCGCCCGCCAGCCCTCTCTCCAGCCCCACCCGTCCGGCGGCGCCTGCTGCTTAGCCACGTTCCCCAAGGCCCGGAACCGGCATCCGGCTGCGAGCGCCTGAAACCGAGGGGACGGCTGCGAGACCCACCTGACGCGCGCGAGGGAACTGAGGCCCGAGGCTGAAAGAGACCTGCCTGCCCAGCGTCCTCCAGAGTGAGCTGAGCCTGCAGTCCACGACTTCGGACTCCCCAACCCCTCCAGACCCAAGACAGGTGGGGACCAGGGAGTCTGCCGTCCCGTCCCCGTTAGAATCTGGGGACGGTTCTCCGCTCCCTTTACCCCAGGCTTGAAGGAGGCGAGCTGACACTTTCCCTACTGCTGCCCCTCTCTCGACCTCCTCCCCCAAACCGGCCATTCCCTCTTCTTGTCATGAGCATCTATGGGGCCCTCCTAGATCGGGGTGGGGGGTGGTGGTGAAATGAATCCACTTGGTCGCTGACGCTGCAGCCGCCGCCTCCACCGCCGCCGCCAGAGAGTTCCCAAGTGGTGGAGAGGACTGTAACGGCGGCCTTTTAAGGAGAGCTTCCCCCGTGCTACACATGACCTCACAGGGTGCCCACAACCACCATACGAGGGCGGTACTATTATTATCCCCCATTAACGGCCCAGGAGATGGAGAGCCCAAACAGCTGGTCTGTGGCAAAGCCAGGACTGGAAGTATCCAAGTCCAGAGCCTTTGCACTTGGCAGCCCTGCTGTTTCTCCGCAGAAACTAGAGGAGGCTTTACCGTGTGTGTGGATTCTCCCCGCCCCCTACTCTCCAGCATGAAGCCCCCTGGGATATGTTGGGGCTAACACAGGTCAAGGAAAGGATTGAGAAACACTACTGCATCATCTGGACCTCGAAAGGGGTGGCACATTGGAATGGAGACCAGCCACTGATGCCAAAGAAGATCTGTCTTTCCTTGGGTCCCAGGCACTCAGAGCTCTGTTAGTGGCCAGTTGGGTCTGCTTTGTGAAGAGGCCCGGGACCTCTCAGAAGCCACTCACCTCTGTCCCTGTGAGTCCCGATGCCAGGCTTCTTTTTCCTTTCTTCAAATCTCTGGTGGCGGGGAGGAAAGATGAACCTTGGTTGCCCCAAAACCAGCCACACCGAACACCCTTGTGTGCCCTAGAAAGTCCCATCTGGGCACACAGCTCTTGAGCACTGCTGAGTGGAGGTGAGCCAAAGCCAGGCAGTTGAATACCAGGCAAAGGGCAAGGCCCAGCCCCCGCGGCTCTACTGTAACCTGTGTGGCAGTGAGCCCTAAAATCCTCACTCCCATGGAGTCACAGTGCTTCCCAAGGGATCCAGATCCCCCTGCCGGACCTGCAACAGCTCCTGGAAGATAGGAACCATGTCTTTTTCACTTCTGAATCCTCACCTGGGACCTGGGACCTGGGACTGGAGCAGGAGTAATGAATCTGTGTTCAGTGAGTGAATGTTTGGACTCCCTCAGGTACAGGCACCAGAGGAGCCCTTTGGGGCTCTATGTGCTAGCTCTATGTGCTAGCTGTGTGGTTGATGGTAGGCAGCCCAGTCAACCTCCCTGTGTGTAAAATGAGCATATCAACAGTGTCACCCTAATGGGGTTGTTTGGGGGAAAAAACAAGAAAATGCACAGGAAGCATTTAGCACAAGTGCCTGGGAGCTGAGGCCAGGCTGGTCCCCCTCCTGGCCTGATTCCAGTCTGTCAGTGTAGCAACGCAAGATTCCAGATATGGCCTGACCAAGCCAGCACAATAGGCCTATTATTTCCCCCAGTCTGGACACGACACATTGTTAATGCAGCCTAAGACTGCTGGGCTTCAGAGCTTTCTCTCCCATGATTAGTTCCCATCAGGTTATGGTCAACTAAATCATTCAGATTCTTTTCACCGGAGCTGGGGTCAAGTCAGGCCTCTCCCCCTTCCCTTGCTTTGTGTAATGTCTTGAAGCCAAGGCCCAACAATGTCCAATGTCATCTTGCTCGTTCCAGCCTGCTGAAATTGTTTTGAATGCTGGTTCTGTTGCCCACTGTTTTCTCTCTCAATGTAGTTCCAGCCTGCCCCTTGCAGCTCCACCTGCGCAGTCGGTCAGCACAGAACCCCATAACACACCGTTATGTGTTACCTTTGGTCTCTGTGAACACTATCGGGGCACTGCTAATACAGCAATTTGCAATGATTGAGCACCCACTGTGAGCTGGGCACGGTTTGCGCTAAGTGCTGTGCATATATCATAACATTCACTCCTTAAAACACCACTGGAAAAGGGTTTTTAATTTAATTTAATCTTATTTTTTTTGACAGGCAGAGTTAGACAGTGAGACAGAGAGAGACAGAGAGAAAGGTCTTCCTTTGACGTTGGTTCACCCCCCAAGTGGCAGCTACGGTCAGTGGCGCTGCGCTGACTCAAAGCCAGGAGCCAGGTGCTTTTCCTGGTCTCCCATGAGGGTGCAGGGCCCAAGGACTTGGGCCATCCTCCATTGCACTCCCGGGCCACAGCAGAGAGCTGGCCTGGAAGAGGGGCAACCGGGACAGAATCCGGTGCCCCGACTGGGACTAGAACCTGGGGTGCCGGCACCGCAGGCGGAGGATTAGCCTAGTGAGCCATGACGCCGGCCTGGAAAAGGTTGTTTTTAATACCCCCACCTTATAGATGGAAAGCCTGAGACCAAGAGAAGCAAAGCAGAGGTTAAACTTCATAAACCCAGAGTCAGACCCCTTTTTCTGATGAAGAGAATGGCCGGCCATAGGCTTGTCATTTAGCAATGTAATCCTTCAGTGCCTGCAGCCCAACCACAGAAGACCCCACTGTCCCATCCCTATCCCCATCCTCCTTGCCACCTCCTTACCCAAAGCCAGTGGGGGCCTTGCTGAGGCTCCCCAGTCTGTGATGGTCAAAGGGTAACCCCACAGGTACTTACTGGCCTCAGGAGCCTGGAAGGAAGCCTGGGCCCATTCTTCCATACAATATTCTATTCATTAGAGCAGCAGTAAGAACAAGGGCTTGCCCCTGAGGGGCAGTCAGCACCCCCTTCTGTGGCAGGACCGCCCCTCAGCCGTCTCTGACCCTTGCTGGGTCCGGCCCAGCCTCATGGTAGAAGACAAACCTTAAGAGCTCTTCTTGTCGCTGTCCACAGTCTGTGTCCCCCAGGGCACCAAGCCCAGCCTGGCGGCTTTTTCCTTTGCCATCACATACCCGCTGCATGGCTGCCAAGGGGGCCCCCTGGACCCTCCGAGCTTCCTGGGTGGCCTAGCAGCAGAGTTAAGGGCAAGGATCCCAGAGGCAGGTTACGCGGCTCCATCGCCTGTCACCACCATGACAGTTCCCTCTTGGCAAGCCATGAATCTCTCTGAACCTCTGGTCCCAACTGTGAATTGGGGGTGAAAACCAAACCTTTCTAGTAGAGTTGGCTTGAGGACGAAGTGGGGCGCTCAGAGCAGTGCTTGGCACACAGATCTTCATGACTATTATTGTTATTAGAACCCAAGGCCATTTTGGTCAGGGGGAGAAAACTCACACCAAGGGTTAGGGGCTAACTTTATGTCTGGTGACGCAAAATGCTATTTCTAGAATAGCAGGGTGCTGCTGAGGCAGGATGACTAGGTGGAGCTGCTGGAGTGTTGGTGCTAGGAGATTGTTGATGACTGAATGTGTTGCCAGATGCCAGTGTTGCTAGGTGGGGTGAGGCGAGCTCATCCAGTGGTGAGATCTAGACTTTCGGGAAAAAGTAGGAGGCAAGCCCATGCCCTGGCGGCACCCACATGGCTCAGTAGCAAATAGCAAATGCCATAACCAAATCTGGGGTTAGGAGGCTCCAAGGGAATGGGCAACTGAAGAGGTAAGGTCTAGGCGGAGCCCGGAGCCAGGGCTTCCTGGAATAGCCGCTATGATGAGAATGCCTCACCTCTTCCCATCTTACACCTTTGTTTGCCCTATGGGGAGTAAGCAGGGCAAAAATTAGGATTGGAGGGACTCTTGAGGGTCCCGAAAGAGTCTTGTTGGGAGGAAGTATCTGAGGGCCCTTAAAGCCACTAGAGGCTGCTCGTTCCTGCCTGGATGTTGGTTGGGCAATTGCGAGGCAAGAGAGGCCTCGAGGCTGACCCATCTGATCTCACAAGCTGTGGAGCATTCCCAAGGGAGACTCCCTGTGCTGAGCTTCGGGACGGAGCTGGGTGGTGGGTCTGACTTCTGAGCCTTCGTTCTCAGGGGGTTGAGGAGCACGGGGAGTGCCCAGAGAGCCCTTGAGACAGCTGGTACCTTGCCACCAGTGACAGCCAGTGTGCCAGCATCTTCTCACCCTACACTCCTCCAAGTTCAAGGTCCTGCTTGGAAGAGACAGCCCTACTTCCTCAGGAAGGCTCTGACCCCTGAGAAGAGGTAAGAATTACAGGGTGGAAGAAACTGGGTGATGTCAGCCTTGGCTCAAAGAGCCACGCTGTCCCGGCCATGGAATCATACACAAAGGGCACCCCAGGGGTTGGACAAAGCTCCCAGGTGGCCCCAGGGCCCAGTAGGTCAGGTAAGGTGTTCCTTGGGCAAGAGCCCAGTGTCTGGCCTCAGCAGAGAGGGTGGGGACTGATGCCTGAGCAATACCTCTCCCTTCCTGGCTGGCCAGAACTCTGCCCTCCTCATGCTCACCCCATGTCCCTTCAAGAAAGCCCTGCCTTGGTCTACTGGCCTTGAGCCTCTCAGAGTTGGAAGGGTCTTTCAGAGTAAGAGAGTTGCTGGCCTTGGGCCGAGGTGGCAGAAGCAGAACCTGCTCAGGTCCCCTTGTAGTCCTGCCCTCACTTGGCGCCACCTTCTACTCATCTGCATGAAAAGCATTCTGGGCGACTCGCTGTTAACGTGATGGCTGCCTCTGCCTGCACTCTGGCTAGGCCAAGCTCTCTGGCTGGCTCCAGATCTGCATGGTAGTGCCGTGATCACAGACTGATTAAGAGTCACAGATAACAGAATAGCCAGGATGGTTAAACAGTCTGGGCCTGGAGTCAGGCTCCCAAGTTTAAATACAGTTCTGTCTATAGCTAACTGTGCGACCTTGGGCATGTCACTTCCCTCCTGTGATCCTCATCTAATCTGTAATCATGCCTCCTCACGCTATCCTGAAGACACAGGGAGACAATGTGTGTGTGCGAAACAACCTTTACAGTTGGCTCTTGACGAATATTAATTTACTTCCTTTATCCCTTCCTTCGGACTGGCAGGCTATATGACAATGGGAAAACAAGCTTCTTACCTCGTTCTGAGATTAAAAACTTAAAACACAGGAGCCTTATCCTTAAATACAAAAGCATGCTTATAAAGGAAGCCTTGTCATTGCATTACCTGGGCTTACTCTGGGCCTCCCCAGCAGCTCAGAGATGAACCGGGCAGAGGTCCTCTTGTCCTTTGGTAGAGGGGAGAGAGTGGGGTGACGTCTAGTCTTGGAGACAAATACAGGCAGAATGTCACAAAATGATGTGGCTGATGCCTCCTAGAGATCTGTCTACGTGCACAGCGGAGAACAGATTCCGTTAGAGGGGTGGAGGTCGGGGAAGGCCTCACAGAGCAGGGGAGGATGGAGCCAAGTTTGGAGGAGTGAGTAGGGAGGGGCACAGCACAGACGGTGGAGAGGAGAATGGTGGGTGCAGAACCAGGGAGCTGCTTGCGCTGGCTGGGTGTAAATGGAAATTGGTAGGCGCCGGGGCTGAGAAGCGAGGAGATCTCACATTCACATTGGGACGATAGTGGGCAGCCACTGAAAGGATTCCCAGCACACTAGGAAATTGACTACATCCCTGCTGTATAACAAAGACGCCGTGAGGGACAGGCATTTGGCACAGTGGGTTAAGCTGCCACTTACAATGCCAGCATCCCTTATGAGAGTGCTAGTTCGGGTCCCAGCTGGTTCACTTTGATCCAGCTAATGCGGGAAGGCTCAAGTATTTGGGCCTCTGCTACCCATGTGGGAGCTCCTGGCTTTGGCCTGGTGCAGACCTGGCTGTTGCAGCCATCTGGGAAGTGAACTAGCAGATGGGAGATCTGGCTTTCTCTGTCTCTCCCTCTCTGCCTTTCAAATAAATAAATCTTAAAAAAAAAAAAAATAAGAAGAATACTGAGAGAGATGGGTGTTGTGACAGAGTGGGGGTTAAGCTGCTACTTGGAATGCCCACATCCCGTATCAGAATGCCTGGGATCAAGTCCCATCTCCACCTCAAATCCAGCATCCTGTTCATGTGTGTCCTGGGAGGCAGCAGGTGATGGCTCAAGTACTTGGGTCCCTGCCACCCACGTGGCAGACCCGAATGGAGTTGCAGGCTCCTGGCTTTGTCCTGGCATGCCTTAGCTGTTGCAGACATTTGGGGAATGAACTAATGGATTGAAGATATTTCTCTGTCTCTCTCTCTCTCTCTCTCTGCCTTTCAAATAAATCTGAACATTGTTTTAAAAAGACACTGCTACTTGTCATCCCAGACCTCCATCCCATCCCCAGTGGCCTGTGGCAGTGACGCCTCCCGGCTCCCCTCTGATCCCATCTCCAACAACGATCGGCCAGATTTTTAAAAACTCAAATAAGACCATTTTATCCCCCTGTTTAAAAGCTACCTGTTACTTGCATTTGATAAATTCTTCATTTTCAAGAAATTCCAAAGCTACTTTTATTAGTTTGGGGTGTGCCCCACAGGAATAAAAAACAATGGGAAGAGGTAGGTCCCACCCCCACCCCCAGGAACAGCCCGGGTGGTGGTGGGGAGGCCACCTAAGGGCAAAAAAGCATGAAAGGACGAAAGGGACCTGCTGCAGGCTCAGGGCTACAGGGACTCCACCAGCGCTGGGACCTGGGAAGAAACGCAGACATGGTGTGTGTGTGTGTGTGTGTGTGTGTGTGTGTGTCCAAGGGAGGGGCAAGAGTCTGGGGCCTGAAGCCACACAGCTGCTCAGGTTCCTCTTCTCCTTGGCCTTTTTCGGCCTCTGCAGCGTGATCTCCAAGTCCCTCTGCTTGCAGGCGGCAGCAGCAAGCCCGTCGTCCTAACCGAGCCGCTCTGCTTTTTCAGTTTCTCTGGCAGGCAAGCTCATGCTGGTTCCTACAGGCTGCGGAGATGGTGGCGGCTCCAGCCTGCCTCCATTGACTGCCCTTGTTCTCTCCGCCATTGCAGGCCTCCATGCATATTTGGTGAATAAAAGGATAGGTGAGCAAAGGGGCCATCAGTAATAATCCTTTCCGCTAAGTTTCTGGGTCTGGGGCTCCAAAGCACCACCTGAGTTCCTTTCTAAGAGAAGTGAGACCAGAGAGGGAAAGGGACTTGCCCAAGGTCACAGAGAAAGTCAACAGCTGTAGAACTTGGCCTCCAACCCCACTGGAGTTCTGAGAGGTTGCCCTTGCAGAGAAACACAGGCTGTGTTTTGCCTGGTCTCTGAGGCCCAGGATGGGCCCTGCAGACTGGGGCTAGAAGGCCCACAGGGAGCCCCTTTCCCCCAAACACCAGGTCCTGTCTCCTCCTGCCAGGGATTGGTTGGGAGCTGGAATCCCCTCTCCTCAGCTTGCAGTCTGGCCTCCTCCTTGGGACTGCTAGGCCCTGGGCTGGCTGTAGGGTGTAGGCCACCTACTGGGCTGGACCACAGTTGGGAGCTAAGATAAGATCTGTGCTAGATTCTAGACTTTGAGCTGGGCTCTGAGCTGGATGCTGGGTGGCTTGCACTCTAGACTTCAGGCTTAGCTTTGGTGTGAATTCCAGGCTCAGCGCATCTGGGGTTCTCTGGGTTCTGGGTCTATAAGCTGGGCTTTGCTCTAAGTCCTGAGCTCTGCTCTTTGTCTCTGGGTAGAATTTGAGCCTCAACCGAGTTAGGCTCCAAGTTGTACAGTCTGGAGTCTTTGGTTCTGTTGATTCTGAATTGAACTTTGATGAGCGTTGGCCTGGCTCAGGCTTTGGGTTCTGGGTTGTATTGTGAGACCTTGGATGGGTCTTGAGCTCTGGGCTCCAGATGTAGCCTTGGGGGCTGGACACTGGGCTGGGCTCTGTTCTAGACCTCAGTTCTAGATGGTCTCAGAACTCTGGGCTTCTGTGGGCGGGAGTGGGTGGGTGGGGTGTCACAGAAGAGAGAGGAGTGACTTGCTGAGGCTCTCTCTTTCCCCAACTCCTCTTCCTGGGAGCTTTGCTCCTTCCTCCCAGATGAGAAGCCAACGTGAAGGCTTCTTGAGCTGCCTGAGGACTTTCTTGGCCACCAGGAAGACGTGGGAGGGGAAGGGCAAAGCAGGTGGCATGTAGGGGCATCCTCAGGTGGCCCAACTCCATCCCACTTGTATCAAGACTTTTCTGCCCAGCGGAGAGCAGCGAGGAAGCCCAGGCACAGCCCACAGCTTCGCTTCCTGAGGAAAGGCGTGGGAGGTGGGTGGCGACCAGGGCCTGGACCCCCCACTTCTCTTACCTCATCCCCCTAACTTTGCCCCACCCGCCCTTCCAGCCAGAAGGCAGGCTGGAAGCCTTGGGGCCCCAGAAGAGGAGATGGCGGGGCTCACCTGAGCCTCTGCGGGAGCCTGGCTGCTCACCTTGACTGCCTCTCCCCTCCAACGGACCCACCCCACGTTTGCTCCCCTTCAAGGCCCCCTTGCTTCCCCTGCCTGCTCTGGACCCAGCAGGAGCCCTCTGCAGCCTGACCCCTCACTCCACCATGGTGCTTCCTCCACAGTGACCTCATGGAAGCTTCCTGGCCAGGCTACACCCTCTTCGCTTGCTGTGTCCCCTCCATGGCCACCTCCAGCCCTGGGAACCCCAGGCCCAAGATGTATGTGCAGCAGACTGCACCGAAGGGACAGGAATTCCTGTAGGGAAATCTAACTGGAAGCCATCATTTAAAATTGTGCATAGCACATAACCACCCGAGGGGAAAACAATCAGAACCTGTTCTGCATTTTCACAGGATGTCCCTTCGAGAGTACATTCAGTTCCTACCTTTATTCTCCTGTCTCAACTCGCCCTTCCCTCCACCCACGGAACGAGACCACCTTGTCAGCCCTCCCCTGGGCGAAACCTCCATGAGGCTCCGTGCAGGAAACCTCACCCCCTAAGCCACATGGGATAGGATCAACAGGATAAGGAACAGTAGAACACTTCCCAGACTATTCTAGCTACTGGTCTAGAATAGCACCCAGCAGGAGGATGGAGGGAGGGGCTCAGGACATAGGCTTTAGCGGAATAGCTAGGATGGGCTTGGCTGTTTTGATCCTTGAGGTCCTGTCCCTTTAAAGTCTTCCTCCCAGTGAGAAAGGATAAACTATGCCTCCTCCTCATTGTCCAGAATTGGCCTTTTGGAGCAAGTAGGGATGACAGTGGTGGTTAAATGCAGATCAACTACACACACACATATGCATACACACACACACACACACACTCACACGGATGCAAATGCCCCTGCAAAATACAAGTGTTTATTCTCACCAACTGTACAGTCTAAATCCATATTGAGAAAGAGAAACTCGTTCCTAAAAGCCCTATCATTTGGTTCCTGCCTACAGAAGGGCTAACACTCAAATTGTTATTTCTTTGAGAGTCAGAGAGAACCCCCATCCACTGGCCCCTGACTAGAGCCAAAGTCAGGAGCCAGGAATTCAGTTCGGGTCTCCCATGTGGGTGGTAGGAGCCCAGTCATTGGCGCTGTCCCCACTGCCTCCCAGGATCCGCATCAGCAGGAAGCTGGAGCTAAGAGCAGAGCCAGGCATTGAACTCAGGCACTCTGGTATATGACATGGCTGTCTTCACCGCTGGGCCAAATGCCCGCCTCCCAGTGATTTTTCAGAACAATGTCCATTCATCCTCTAGGTGGGTCCTTGGGCTTCAGCCTGTGCCCCTGGCTACCATGCATGACAAAGAAGCCTGGAGCATCTGCCCATGCTGGCCCCATAGCTACAGGATGTCCCTGTAAGAGCTGTGAAGCTATGAGTCCCTCACTGTAGACCAAGTGAAAATTGAGAAGGGGGCTGGGACTGAGCACTCCCCTAAGCTGAGTGCTCCAAAGTGTGGGGCCTTGGGTCTTCCAAATTCACTCTCGTCATTTCTGTCTCTGTTCCAGGCCTCATGCTGACCACGGCATCCTCCCTTACAGCTCTGTTTGTCTTCTAGAAAAACGCCGGGTCACGTGAACTTGTGGTCGTGCTTCATTCTTGACATGTTTGATGTTGGTTTGTCCTGTCTCCCCAGCCGGGCCGGGGATGCAGGAACTAGGCCAGGATCCCTTCACGTCATGGCCTGACTCTGGGTCAGGTGAGGTCCCTGAGGAGTTCAGAGTCTGAGGGAGAAACCAACAAGGAAATCAGTGATTACGGTACAAGTCTGATAAAAATGACGACAGAGGGAAACAGCAGAGATACAGGCCGCGTTGCCACATTGCATAACTCTAGGGGTCCATATGATTGGTCCCCTCTGCAATTGTGCAGTGAGAAGGCCCTGGCCAGGGGCAAACCCAGAAGAGGAAGCATCTGACCCAGACAAGTGCCTTAAGGAGACCAGGCCTGAGTGGGGGCTCCAAGGGCAAGGTTGCCAGGCAGAGGGCAAGTGAGGCTGAGCAAACCCCATGTGCAAAGCCACTGAGGGCAAGGGAACATGGGAAATGTTGGGAAATATCAGGAAATACATTTTGGCTGACATACTGGGCCCATGTGGGGGGAATGCCTAGAGGTTGTTTGTTAAATAAAAGTTAATGAATGCAAGGACTATAATAACAAAAGTCATAATCACCAACATTTGTTAACTACCCACTCTAGGCCAGGCACTGTGCTAAGTGGCTTGCATACATTTTCTTATTTTAGCTTCATTACAAACCCATGAGGTAGATGCTTTCTTATACCCCCTCCGTGCACACAAGGAAACTGAGGCTCAGCGGAATGAATCGGCTTGCTCAGGGTCACAAAGCTAGTGAATAACAGCACTGGGGTGGAAACCCATGTCTCTGGAACCTAGAACCCTGGGCCCTTGACCTCTACTTCCTGCTTTCCTCCAACGGGTGTCCTTGACCTTGGGCAGCGGTGGCGTCAGTGCAGACCGGAGAGACACCAGCCGTGACGTCACACCTGCTTGAGCTTGGTCAGCAGCAGCAGTGCCTTTGGTGGGTCTTGGCATTGACATGGGTTGACTCTAGTGAGATGTTGAATGGAAGGGCACATGGAGAGAAAGCCCCATGAGCCAGTTTTCAAACGAGGAGCCCCTGGGTTTCCCAAGCTCCCCAGAAGGAATCCGAGGGAGACTGAAATACCGCCGGGCCAGGAAAGCACTTTCTGCTGGCTTGTGTTTCCCGGGCGTGTCGTGGCTAGGTTACTCCCTGAAAACTGCTCGCCCTTGTCTGCATTCTCTCCCACATCACCTGCTTTCCAAGCCCCTCAGGACTCCCAGGCCCTCCATGTCTGCCAGCCTAGCCGCCCTCCCTAGCTTCACTTCATCTGTCCTCCCATAGGGCTGGCATGTCTCTGGCCAACCCCATCCCCTGCTCTCATCCTGGCTCAGGCCCAGATGATTCCTTTATCTGTACCTGTCCCAGGCTGCTGTGGGCTGCTGGAGGCAACCAGCTCCTCCCAGGGGTGGGTCTCTGAGCACACTTGCCCTGCAGCGCATTGCCTGCTTCTTGCTGCCTTTCTTCTTCTTTTTCTTCTTCTTCTTCTTCTTTTCTTTTTTTTTTTTTTTTGCTAATGGATTTTCCTGAGGCTTATTCTAGGATTTTTCTTCCTCAACATGATCTTAAATGGTAGAGTTCAGAGGGACCTCTTCCTTGAGCCCATTTTTTCTTCACCCCCTTTTCTCCCTCCACTTCAATGACTACAATTATACTAATAACTCCAAATGTATGTCTCCACCCAGATTTGCATGCCTGAACACTGTATCCCACCCACTTGTTCATGTAACTAACATTTTTTAGTCTGTAGGTACTGTGCTTAGAAGGTGGCATGGACCTTGCCCTCGTGGGCCCACAGTCAAATGAACAGGTATAACCAAGCAATTAGAGAGGAGTGTGTTGGCAGAGGACGCTGAGGCGACCAGAGAAGAGAGGGCTGATCCAAGAAAAGGGTGTCAGTTAGGCTCAGTTTGTCTGTGGGTAGCAGAAAAATCCCAAATCACAGTCAGTACAACCAGTTAGGAGTCTGGAGATAATCAGCCCAGAGCTAGTATGATGTATGCCTGATTAGAGCCCTGGTACTTTCCATTTTGTTGCTGGACCATTCTCTACCATCCTCAACACCATGCTTCTAGCTCATTGTCCAAGGTAGTTGCTCAAGCTCTCATCATCACACCTACATTTCCAACCACCTCAGCTGAGGAAAGAGCGAAAAATGGCACCTTCTCCCTTTAAATAATAATCCCTGGAAGTTGCACAAAACACTTCGATCTACAGGCTACGGGCCGAACTGAGTCATATAACCACACCTAGCTGCAAGGAATTCTGGGAAAAATGAATTTTATTCCAGTCCAACCATGGGTGCAGCCAAAAACCCGGCCTCTATGACTAAGGACAAACAAGAAAACGGATGCTAGAGGACAACTAGTAGTTTCAGCCTCGGAAAGCATCCAGATGTGCTGATGCCTAAACCTAACCTGAAATGTGAGAGGAGACTCCACTTGGCCAAGCAGGGTGGGTGGGGTGCTTTGGGCAGTGGGCTGCAGAGCACATTCCTGGAAATACAAGTGGTTCGGGACATGTGCAGCATGGAGTGTAAATGGGAATGTGATAGGAGGCACAGAAAGGATGGTTACATAAGGCGTCACTCCATGGTGGGGTCACACTCCTCCTACTCTCTCTCTCTCCAAGAAAAGAGGCACACCTAGAGGAAGGAGCCAAGCTGGGTTTAAAATTAGTTTCCTCCTGATTGAGAGCCTAGGTGTGGCTTATCCCTAGAAGTCCCCAGTCTCCTCCCCCACCCTCCTCCCTGGCTCAGGCCTGGAGCACCAGGGACGTACATAGCATTTAGGCCAAGTCCCCTGGGCAAGGAGGCGCTGGGGGCTCCGGAGCTGGGCTAAGGCCTTGAGGCAAAAATCTGGGGCCAGTCAGTGGCAGCAAGGCCATCGGCCCCACCAGCTGCATTTGTTGGTCAATGGCAGGGAAGCAGGGGCAGCTGAGCCCACAGAAATTACCAGCTGGGGCCTCCCCCGAGACACGTTAGCAGGCCTTCCAAAGGTTGTGTTTATTTCCCTTGTGTGTTCGCAGACTCCGGGGCAGGGCAGCCAGCTGGGCGTGGGGCGTCTGGCTCTCTGGAGGAAGGGACTCAACCCCGTTGGCTCTGCCCCCACTGCCCTCTGATCCTGTAGCAAATAGACGACGATCTCTGCCCAGGCCACTCAGAGACTTCAACAGGGAATCCCAAATGCTCCAACACCTCGCTGCTCCCTACTGTGAGCTCACATGTCCCCACCCTGTCCCCCCTCCCAAGAAACACATATATCACACACAGACTCCCAATAAACGCTGCTTATACCACATACCCAGCCCTCACTTATCCTACACATGCATCATACATATACTACATATAGGCAAAATCTTCCCATCACCCACAGTATGTACAGACCCACGCACCTTGACTCACCCGTGGTATACAGACATACTACACACATGCTATTCCAACATGCCTACCCTCCATAGGTACCATTCCATACACACATACCTCACACATACATCCAAACCTATTCACTCACCTACACATCACTCTCAGACCCTATGGATGTCCCCTACATTTGGGGACAGGCTCCCCAAGTTCTCTTATCCATATGAGCCTTTGCCTTCTGAGCTTGGATAGGACAGAGACCCAGAGAGGCAGTTGGAGTAGAGAAGGAAGCACCTTTGCATCCCCCGTGCCGAAGGCTCAGCCCCCAGCAAGGAAAAGAGACTCACTTTTCCCCTACTAACCTGTGAACCTATATTTGTCCCTGACGTCAGGGACATGGAGTTCTGGGCAGGAGATCCAGCATGATGCCCCAGCTCTGCCCCCAAGGCCCAAGATGCCCTAGGGACAATAGCCCCGGCTGGCAGGCTGGCCATGCCAGACCTCCCAGTGTTATGGTGGTAAGAGAGCCCTTATGCAACAGATACTGTGGAATGTGCAGGGCACCTGCAGGAGCTGACCCCAGCAGAGTGTGAAGAGCAAAGGTCCTCACAGGTACTGACACCTACTCTGTGCCAGGTACCATACCCAGAACGCCACAATATTGTCACCTGTCATTCTCACGTATCTGTTATCCCCATTTTATGAACAAGAGAACCGGGGCCCACAGAGATGGCCAGAGCTGCACATTCAGAGAATGGCAGGGGCTGGCTTGCAACCGGGAACCGTTTGTTGCCCTGCACTGGCCCGCACCCTGAGGATGGGCTGTGAGGCTGCAGCAAGGTGGCTCCAGGCCACCATGACTCAGGCAATGGTCCTGAGCCACATGGTGCTCGGTCCTGGGCTTCTTCCTCCTTCATACTTTCCCACTGATTGGCAGCACTGAGGCAGGAAGCTTCAGTCTGAGCAAGTGGACCTGGGGATTAGGAAAGAGGGAAACAATTGGCTGACTTGTGAGCTTGTACCAAGGCCACAAGCTAAACCCATATTGTTCCTGGATATTGAACCAAAACTGGCTCTAGGCCAAGAGCTGGAGCTATAGTTTGAGGTAATTCAGGACTAGAAATCAGAGGTGGAGCTGAGCCAGGAGCCAAACCTGGAGTTGCTGCTGCCACTGGAACAGATCCAAGCCAGGGCAAGGGGTTGGACCTGGAGCCAGGGCCTTTGTGGAGGGGATAAGCGATAGCGAACCTGCCCAGCACGCCAGGCAGTAGGCTGGTTGCAGAGGAGGGATCCACGGGACCCATGCTGTTCAACACGGGAGAGAACGAGCCACACAGAAAACTTTAATCCATGGCATGCCAGCCTCTGGCAAAAGGACCCTGCATGAAGCTAAGCTTTGGAAGGCAGCCAGGGATGAGAAAGACCGTGTGTGGCAGGAGCAAAGTCTCAGAGGCAGGAAAGCCCAGTCCCAGGCCTGTTCAGAGGAGGATGGGCCAGCATTCTGTCTGGCTTGAGTGTGCAGCCAGCCAACAGAGCAGTGGGTACAAGGCTGCTGAGGTCGGTGACAAGGGCCCACATGATCTGCTGACCGTTTGGGAACTTGAACTTCATCCAGAGGACAACAGGCTATCATTGACAGGAATTAAAGACAGTGACGTGGTCAGCCTTGCATTGTAGAGGAGCCCTATGGCTGCTGATGTGGAAGAGGGACTGAGGGAGGGGGTAGGGGACCATAAGGCAGGGAAAGCAAGGAGGAGGCTGGTGTGTTGGCCCCGGAAGGAGATCAGGAAGCCCAAACTGGGAGAGTGCGCCAGAAGGGAGGGAAGGGGACAGATGCAAGATTTGCAGACGGGCAGAACTGACAGATTTGCTAATCATTTGGAGATGGAATGGGAGGGACAGGGTGAAGGTGAGGAGGACACCAGGGTAGAGCCCAAGGGTTAGACTGAAAGGTGATTGGGTTGCAAGAGCAGGGCCACCCCAGGAGAAACCAGAGGGACAGAGCCTGAGCTCCAGGCTTGTCCTCCCAACTCTGCCTCTCATCAGCTGGGTGTACACCGCATGTGACTAATGTTGTCTGAATGCCAGTTTCTCGTCTGTGGAGTAGGGAGATTGTGTCTCCCCTTAGGATTTCTATGACAATCGAGCACTATATATGTGTGGGTGTCTGGAACATGGCAGGAGTCAATACATCAGATCTCCATCTGCCAAGCAAGATGCAGGCCTTTCTCAGTAGTGACCTCAATGCCACCGGCTAAGTATCCCACCAGGGATGGTTCCAGGAGCCAGTCAGGCAGCTCTGGGTGCCACTGGTCTCCCAACTTTCCCACAGCTGAGAAGAGTGTCCCCGGGGTCCTGTTTCCTCACTCTCCATCCACTGGGGCTCCCCTTCCCAGTAGTGTCCCAGAGGCCCACCACCCTGGTGGGCAGGAAGGAGCTGCCGGAGGGCACTTCAGAGCCCTGGGCTTGCCCCTAGCTCACCTGTTGTCTGAGCACAGCGGGCTCTGATCACAGCGGCTCCTCCCCACCTGCTCCTCAGTCTACCTCTGCACTCAGGTATCGGGGAAGGGCCCAGTCTGCAGTATGGAGGCTAAGGCCACCTGGGGAGGCAGATGTCTTTCAGTCTTGTCTCCTCCTTTAATATCTTGCCAGCTCCCCTAAAGACAATCTCTTAACCCCTTAGGTATAAATGGATCCTCACAGTCTGCTCCAAGCCTCTGGCTGTGCCTACACTATGAGGGTTATCTTACTGCTCCCCAGAGCCCTGTCTTACCAGCGAGGAATCTTAAGCCCGACCCCTCTTCTGAGCCCCAGAGCCCCAGTATTCCACCCATCTCCCCAGGGCTGATCCAGACTCTCAGATCCCCTTAGGTCAGTGAATGGGTCCACCTCCTGCCCCTTCTCCCAGGCCAGAAACCCCAAAGTCAGTTCTGTCTCCTCTCTCACTCGCAGACCTCATAGCCTGTCAAACTTACTTTCTTTTTTTTTTTTTTTAAAGATTTTATTTATTTATTTGAAAGGCAGCATTACGGAGAGGCAGAAGCAGAGAGAAAGAAGTCTTCCATCCGCTGGTTCACTCCCCCAAATGGCTGCAATGGCCAGAGCTGGAACCGATCCAAAGCCAGGAGCCAGGTACTTCTGCATCTCCCACGCAGGTGCAGGGGCCCAAGCACTGGGGACATCTTCCACTGCTTTCCTAGGCCATAGCAGAGAGCTGGATAGGAAGTGAAGGAGCCAGAAATTAAACCGGCGTCCATATGGGATGCCGGCACTGCAGGTGGCAGACTTACCTGCTATGGCACAGCACTGCGCTCTTCAAGCTTACTTTCTGGACACCTGTCACCTATCTGTCCCTGCCATCTCCATTCCCCTTCAGGCACTTCTTTGGCCCAGGCACTTGTTCTTGTGGCCTCCAGCTTAGCTGGGCACACTCACAGGCCTACTGATCTTTCCTGAGGCTCAGGCATCCCAGTGGCATGAGCTGCTCTACTCTGACATGTTTGAGAAATCTTTTATGAGCAGAAGATGCCCCAGGGGGCAACGTTTTAAAAATCAGGCAATCGAGAATCACAACCAAATAAAAGATCTGCCTTTCCGGAGAAGCTTGCCTTTGGAATCCTTGCAACAGGGGAATTGCCCAAGAGGGTTTTCCCCCCCTTCTTTGTACAACAACAATTAACACCACTTTGCAAAAGGCATACAAAAATACAGTATTAAAAAAGAGACTGCCTCTAGCCTAGCGCCGCCAGCCGCTTATAAAACACAAGCCTCCCAGATTCTCAGTTGTTTCAAAAGGAGCCAAAATCTGAGTTTTAGATGAAATTTCATAACTTTTCAATGTTGGCAATCAATGTTAAAAATCCTTAAAAACATTATTCAGGCCCCCAGTTCACAAGGTTGGGCACTTCTCATCTATCTTCCCCTCTCTCTAACAGCAGAAACAAAAATACTTTTTAAAACAAAATCCTACTTTAACTAATGCTTGCTAGTTGCAATCGTGGTTTCAAGGACCTCACATAGAATTCTTGTAATCTGGGGCTGGCACTATGGCAAAGCAGGTAAGCCCCTGCCTGCAGTGCTGGCTCCTCCACTTCCAATCCAGCTCCCTGCTAATGCACCCGAGAAAGCAGCAGAAGATGGTCCAAGTGCTTAGGTCCCTGCCACCCATGTGGGAGACCTGGAAGAGGCTCTTGGCTCCTGGTTTTACCCTGGCCCAGTCCTGGTCATTGTGGCCATTTGGGGAATGGACCAATGGATGAAAGAACTCTCTCCTCTCTCTCTCTCTCTGTAACTCTGCCTTTCAAATAAATAACTACATCTTTAAAAATAAATAAATAAATAAATTCTTGTAATCCAACACTCCACCAGGTAGCCGAGAAACCTCCACTCATTGAATTCAGCACTTTTCCCGCTGAGGCCCAGAGAAATGAGGTCCTTTGCTGAGAAACAGCTCATCCCTGGAAGGGCCAGGATTAACTGTGAAGATCCTCGGGATCACAGACGATGTTTTGTGCGCTAATTCCTTCCACAGCTCGATAACTGGCGGGTGCGTGAATGAGGGAACTCAAGAAGAAAAACTCAAGCGCACATGTCTCCCGCGAACACCTGCCTGCAAAGCCAGCGTCCCGCCCCATCAGAGGACTGGGGAAGACGCGCCGGGGGTCCGCGGCGGCTCGGTGGGGAGCGGGGCTCGCACAATGCAGGTGCCGGCTGCTCCCTCCCTTCCGCCGCTTTGAGGCTACAGGACAGCCCAGGCCACTGCTTCCTGCGCGCAGCCCGGGTTCTGCGACGTCCGGCTGCCGGCCCTGCGGCCCCTCAAGCCCTGAACGGAGATGGGGGTGGGTGTGAAAGAGGCGCTCCTTGCCCGGCCTCGGGCGTTCTAGGCACATCTGCCAACTGTGCCATCACAGATTTACCTCCTCGTGCTCCGCGCCCCGCGCCTCTTGACACGCAGGGTGCCAGGTAGTCAATCAGGCGCTCAGAGCCCATTGAAGTTCCGTATCCTCCCCACCCCCACAGCTACGATAACCAGGAAGCCTTCACCGTTGCGGGACACTTTCTAGGTGGGTGGAAACGTCCAGCTGAGAGCTTGGGGGGACTGATTCGTTTAATCTTCTCCACAGCCAGGCAGGATGAGTCCCGGGTTCCCTATTTACACTTAGGAGACTCAAGACCAGAGGGGGTAAGTGCCTTCCTCGGGGCGGCACAGCAGGGATCTAACTCCAGCATCTTGCCTATTGCAGCCCACGGGCCTGGGGGTGTAGACCCAGGTGACAGCTTCCCTGGCCCTCCGGAAGCTGCCTTTCTGGAGATGAGGGTTGGGGCAGGGACACTTTCTAATTACTCACAGGTAGGCGGAAAGATAGGCATGCAGATTTCAAGCTGAGGGGAGCAGCCCACGCAAAGCCCCAGACCAGGCCAGCACCTCCCAGGCCAGGCTCCTGCTGCAACACAGCCATGTTCCCCGCCTCGGTGCTCCGACACAGGGGCAGCCTCCAGCGTGTCTGTGTTGGCGGGGACCTCTGGAAAGGCCTTTCTCTGCCCCGCAACACCTGATGGAGGAAAGGCCTGGGCGGTGATGTCCTGATAAATATTTCACAGCCCGGGGAGGGGACTCAGGAGAGGCAGGCAGCCCCGAGTTGGGGCATGTTTGAGTTTCCATAGAGTAAATATCCACATGGCCAATTTCAAGCCTCTGAAGTTCAAATTGGACAGTAACACACACATGGTACTTCTACCAGAGCAGCTACGATAGGTAATAGTCAAATACAGGGGCTGGCACTGTGGCATAGCGGGTAAAGCCACACCACCTGCAGTGCCAGCATCCCAAACAGGCACTGGTTGGAGACCTTGCTGCTCCACTTTCTGACCCAGCTCTCTGCTGTGGCCTGGGGAGGCAGTGGAAGATGGCCCAGGTCCTTGGGCCCCTGCACCTGCGTGGGAGACCTGGAAGAAGTTCCTGGCTCCTGGCTTCCCTAGCTCTGGCTGTTGCAGCCAACTGGAGAGTGAACCAGAGGATGGAAGACCTCTCTCTCTCTCTCTCTGCCTCTCTGTGGCTCTGCCTTTCAAATAAATAAGTAAATCTTTTAAAAAAAAATCAAATCCAGTAAAATAATGAGAGAGTAATGAGTTTGGAGTCTTTGTTTTAACATAGTTGAGTGTTAAGTATGTGGAACTTAATTTCTACTCACTGTCCTTCAAGCAGCTCCCATGACCCCTGACAGTGCCACGGTCGGCTCTCACCAAGCTGATGCCCCCCGCAAGCAGCACAGCACCAGGCCCAGGTAGTTTAGCTCCTGGGGCTGCCTGCCTCTTCCTGATCCTCCAGCCTCAGGGCGCCCACGCACAACTTGCCCCATCTCTCTGGCCTGGGTTTCCCTCTAGTGGACAGAAGAGTCATTTCCAGGTGATTGCCTCGCTCCACCTAGGTCTCCAGAGCTCAGCACCCAGAGGAGGGAGTGGATAAACTGCCATGGCGCTGGGCAAGGGCCTCACAAGTATCCTCAGGCTCTGGGCAGTTGGTATTGTGGCCCCATGAGGGGCAGTGCCAGGGGGCCCCATGGGCTTCCGTCATCATCACACCCTCCAGTTCCCAGAAATGCCATTTCATCCCGCATGGGGCAGCTCAGGCTGGCTACATCAGCCCTTCAGGTTTGGGGAACACCTTCCCCCACCCACAGTCATGTCTACCCCTAAAAAGGCAAACTGGAAGCCCTAGTTTAAGCGCTCAGTCAACTCATGAGCCACTGGGGGCCACTGCTGGACACCACGCACGCGTTGGACACATAGGAGACGCTGGAGTCACCAAGCACAGGCTGGGGTGCAGGATGCCCCTCCTGCATTACCGCCTCCCTCTCCCCCGACTCTCGTCTTCTGGAAGGGATCTACACAGAGCACAGATAGAAGTGTGCACGCCTCTACGCGCAAACCTGCCGTGATTCGCCAGTGCAGTCCAAGCTCCTTCGCCAGGCATCTGGACCCGGCCCAGATGGTTTGCTTTAAATCACCAAAGAAAGGGAAGCAAACTGGCATTTGGGCAACCCTCCTCTGCACAGGCCCCGCGCTGAACACTTTGCCAGCGGTTTGATTTCATTCTCCAGCGAGGTGGCCGATGAGGGGGAATCACTCTACAGATGGGGCACAGTTGCGAACAGAAACCTCTCTCCTCTCTCCTCTCTGCTCCAAAACTGTCCTGGACTCTCCAGGCCCCGTGCCTTCCCCCAGGTCGGCCGCAAAATGAGGTGCAAAGTCTTCAGAACCCCTTTCTCACAGCACTTAGGGCAAGGCCACATTCCTTAGGGTTCTAAGGCAGGACTGCTTTGCAGTGAAACCCAAGCGGAATTAACAGAGCCACAGATACGGGATAAGAAACCAGCTGTAAATGGGTTACATTCTTCTGGTGCTGGCCCCAGAGCCCTCCCTCTGCCTCTGTTCTTCCTACCCACCCCCCAGCCCAACTCCCCTTTCCCCCTCCCCCCCCCCCCAACTCTTTCCTTGCACTGGAATCCTAGACATCTTTAAGGCTCAGATCAAATTTCCCTCCTCCAGCAAGCCCTCTCAGACCACCTGGCTCTGGGATCTGGGGAATGAAAGTAAGAATTGTTGCAGTTTGAAAGAAAGGGCAGATTTCTGGCTAAATACAAGGATTGATCACATGTGTTTATCTGCACTCACTCCTGAAATTCCACTAGGGTAACAGCAAATGGATTAGAAAAGAAAAATTCAAACTCACAGGGACACAAAATGGAAGAAAATAAAAAGAATGATTGGACCTTTTCTTCATACCATAATAAAAAATTAACAAAGGGCCAGCACTGCGGTGTAGTAGGCTCAGCCTCCAGCTGCAGTACTGGCATCCCATATGGGCACCAGTTCGTGCATCCGGCTGCTATACTTCCGATCCAGCTCCCTGCTCATAGCCTGGGAAAACTGTGAAAGATGGCCCAAGTGCTTGGGCCTCTGCATCCACGTGGGAGACCTACAAGAAGCTCCTGGCTCTGGCTTCGGATCTGCCCAGCTCCAGCCATTGCAGCCATTTGGGGAGTAAACCAGTGGATGCAAGATCTTTGTCTCTGCCTCTCTGTCTATAACTCTGACTCTTAAATAAATAAGTAAATCTTTTTTAAAAATTAACTCAAATGGATGAAAGACATGAATGTAAGAACTGAAACTATTAAACTCTTAGAAGAAAACATAAGGGAAAAGCCACAGGACATTGGATTTGACAATGGATTCTTAGATATGACACCAAAACCCACAAAAGAAAAAATAGATAAATTGGATTTCACCAACATTAAAAACTTTTGCATCAAAGGACACAATCAAGAAAGTGAAGGGGGGCCAGCACTGTGGTGTAGCGGGCATCCCTTATGAGCACTGGTTTGAGACCTGGCTGCTCCATTTCCGATCCAGCTCTCTGCTATGGCCTGGGAAAGCAGTAGAAGGTGGCCAAGTCCTTGGGCCCCTGCACCCACATGGGAGACTCGGAGGAAGCTCCTGGCTCCTGGCTTCAGATTGGATCGGCGCAGCTCTGGCCATTGCAGCTAATTGGGAAGTAAACAAGCATATGGAAGACCTCTCTCTCTGCCTATCCTCTCTCTGTATAACTCTGACTTTCAAATAAATAAATCTTTAAAAAAAGAAAAAGAAAAAGAAAGTGAAGGGGCTGGTGCTATGGCACAATGGGTAAAAGCCACAGCCTGCAGTGCCAGCATCACATATGGGTTCAGGTTCCAGGGGTTGAGTCCCAGCTGCTCCACTTCCCATCAAGCTTCGTACTAGTATGCCTGAGAGACTGGCAGATGATGGTCCAGGTCTTTGGGCCCCTGCATCCACATGGGAAACCCAGAAGAAGCTTTTGGCTCCTGGCTTTGGATAGGCCCAGCTCGGGCCATTGTGGCCATTTGGGGAGTGAACCAGCAGATGGAGGATATCTCTCTCTCTCTCTCCTCTCTCTCTCTCTCTCTGTCTCTCTCTCTCTGTCTCTCTCTCTCTCTCTCTCTCTGCTTCTCTGTAACTGTACTTTTCAAATAAATAAATAAATCTTTGTTAAAAACACAGTAAAGAGGCTAGCGCTGTGGCATAGAGGGTAAAGCTGCTGCTTGCAATGCCAGCATTCCATGTGAGCACTGATTTGAGTCCTGGCTACTTTACTTCCACTCCAGCCCTCTGCTATGGCCTGGGGAATCAGTGGAAGACAGCCCATGTCCTTGAGACCCTGCACCTAAGTGGAAGAGCCGGAGGAAGCTACTGGCTCCTGATCGGCTGAGCTCCGGCCATTGCAGCCAGTTGGAGAGTGAACTATCGGATGGAAGATCTCTCTCTTTCTGCCTCTCCTCCTCTCTCTATGTAACTCTGACTTTCAAATAAATAAACAAATATTTTTTAAAAAAGACAATAAAGAGGGATGAGTGAACAGGCAAAAGTGGTGTTTGGCTGCCAGTTGGAGTTCCAGCTACTCTGCTTCCTATCCAGCTTCCTGCTAATTCACCCTGGGAGACAGCAGATGACAACCGAAATGCTTGGGCCCCTGCCGCCCACGTGGAAGTCCCAGGTGGGATTCCTGCTTCAGTCTGTCCTACCTCTGGCTGCTGTGGCCACTGGGGGAATGAACCAGCAAATGGAAGCTCTCTATTAAAAAGATTAATTGGGCCGGCGCCCCAGCTCACTAGGCTAAACCTCCGCCTGCGGCGCCGGCACCCTGGGTTCTAGTCCTGGTTGGGGCGCTGGATTCTGTCCCAGTTGCTCCTCTTCCAGTCCAGCTCTCTGCTGTGGCCCCGGAGTGCAATGGAGGATGGCCCAGGTCCTTGGGCCCTGCACCCACATGGGAGACCAGGAGGAAGCACCTGGCTCCTGGCTTCGGATCGGCGCAGTGTGCCAGCCATAGTGGCCATCTGGGGGGTGAACCAACGGGAGGAAGACCTTTCTCTCTGTCTCTCTCTCTCACTGTCTAACTCTGCCTGTCAAAAAAAAAAAGATTATTTTATTTTATTTATTTGAAAGACATAGTTACAGAGAGAGAGGGAGAGACAGAGGGAGAGAGAAATCTTCCATCTGTTGGTTCACTCCCCAAATGGTCAGGGCTGGGCCAAGCGGAAGCCAAGAAACAGGAGCTTCATCTGGGTCTCCCACTGGGTGGCAGGGGCCCAGTCAATTGGGCTACCTTCTGCTGCTTTCCTAGGTGCATTAGCAGGGAGCTGGATTGGAAATAGAGCAGCCAGAACTCAAACCAGTGCCCATATGGGATGGTGGAGCTGCAGGTTGTGGCTTTACCCACTATGCCACCACACCTATAATGAACTTTTGTGACTCAACAACAAAGAAACAAATGACCCAATTAAAAAATGAGCAAAGGGGCCCATGCCATGGCTCACTAGGCTAATCCTCCATCTGTGGCGCTGGCACACCAGGTTCTAATCCCGGTTGTGGCGCCAGATTCTCTCCCGGTTGCTCCTCTTCCAGTCCAGCTCTCTGCTATGGCCTGGGAGGGCAGTGGAGGATGGCCCAAGTGCTTGAGCCCTGCACCCACATGGGAGACCAGGAGGAA